AGCAGTCATTCAGCACTCTGCATTCACACTGGATTTTCACATATTTTTTTTTTCTAGCTTTGACAACGTTTTGTTTACCTGTGATTTGTGTCCATCCTCTCTCCACAGGCCCATGTACGCCCTCAAATGTGGCTCCCTCTCTTCAGTGCGAGTTGCACAGAGGCTCTGTCAGCTGGAGCCCCAGTGATGGTGCTGAGTCATACGTTGCCATAGCAACTGGCCTTGACGGCCACACTCACCAGTGTCTCACCAACACCACTTCCTGCACGTGGAACGACCTGCACTGTGGGGATGAGTACACTGTTGTAGTGCACGCCAAGGCTGACAACTGCACCAGCCCCCCGAGCAACAGTTCTGTCGTCTATATGGGTACGATACAGAAAATTTTAACATTTTAAATGATTTTAGAATAGTTAAGAACAGTAAAAAAAAAAAACCTAAAATTATAAAGGAATACATTTAGACAGAACAGTCAGGATTTTTTTTTTTTTTTTTTACTTCCTTCCAGATCCTTGCACTCCCTTGAATCTGTCTGCCACTGTGAGCTGCAGTCTGAAAGCCGTGTCTCTGACCTGGGATGGCCGAGCAGTGCAGTACATGGTATCAGCTGAGACAGGAGTCGAATCAATTAGTTTCAACACCAACACCTCCACAGTCCACATCTCTGAGCTCATCTGTGGACAAAACTACAGCCTGACTGTCACACCAGTAAACCAGCACTGTACCGGCAGTTCAAGTGCACCAACCTCTGTGCAGACCTGTACGTGTTATTTAAACACTACTTTTAGTAGCAAAACAAATTCAAACATAATGGCAAAATTAAATCATTTTCAGTTTAGGTAATTTTTATATTATTTTACAGGGCCTTGTACACCATCAGGGATCTCTACCGTGCAGAACTGTACCTCTGGTATCGTCATGGTAACCTGGCAGGCTAGCAATGGTTCAGACAGCTACACAGCCACCATGCAGACAGACTCCGGCATCTTAGAAATGTGTACTTCAGGAAACAATTCATGCAGCGTTCCTGCCCTGGTGTGTGGACATAACTTCTCGGTGTCAGTCACAGCATCCAACCAGCAGTGTAGCATCACCTCCACTGAAACCACCAGTCTGCAGTCAGGTCAGTAACATACGCTTTGTAAATTATAAAGAAAAACATAAAGGCAATGATCTGCAAATCTCAAACCCATATTTTATTCACAATGGAACATTTTAAACATATCAAATGTTTAAAATAAGAAATTCTACCATTTGTAGGATAAAAACTAAGCTAGTTTTGAATTTGATGGCAGCAACACATCTTTAAAAAGTTTGTACAGGGCCAGGTTTATCACTGTGAAACATCCCCTCTTATTTTAACTGCAGTCTGTAATTGAGGAGACGTATCATGAGGAGTAAATGTTTTCAGTCGGGGAGGTCTCTGAACTGAAGGCAGGTTATTTCAACACCCTGACTCCATCTATGAAGCCACGCTGTTGAAATTGATGCAGTTTAGCATCGTCTTGCTGAAATATGCAAAGCCTTTCTTGAAAAATAAGTAATTTAGATGTGGGCATATATGTCACGGACCAGGAATTTAAAATTTTGATTCCTCTGACCTCAAAACAATTTTCCACTTTGCTTCGGTCCATTTTAAATGAGCTTTGTCCCAGACAAGATGACAAAGTTTCTGGATGGTGTCTTGATATGGCTTCTTCTCTGTATGATGGCACTAAACTGTGTTTACAGACAATGATTTGTAGAAATGTTCCTGAGACTACGCAGTGATGTCCATGGCAGAATCAGACCTGTTTTACATTTTACACAATGTTTTAACGTTTTTGGAATTGAGGTTAACGTTAAATGTGGTAAAGGTTTTTGCCCATCCCATTATTTAATGACTAAAACTGTTGTTTGGTTTTTTTTTTGTCTGCACAGTGCCGTGTGTTCCCAATAATGTCTCAGTGCTCATGGACTGCACCAACAACTCTGCTGCTGTGTCCTGGTCTCCCAGTCGGGGTGCCAAGAAGTACTTCCTGTTAACCAACAGTAGTCAAGACAATGACAGCTGCCAAGCCTCCGATCTCAGCTGCCTTGCGTGCGGCAGCAGCTACACCATTCAGGTTGTAGCCAGAGATGACACCTGCCTCAGTGTGCCCAGCCAGGCTGTGGTATTTGACTCAGGTAAAGAGAAGTTTCACCAATTAACACGTTGAGATGAACTTATCTCCAGCTGGTTTTATGTTCTCAGGACCCTGCCAGCCTCAGAACCTGAGTGCCCAGCTCAGTTGTTCCTCCAACAACCTGACAATTTCCTGGAATGCTGTTAGAGAAGCTGACCACTTTTTGGTTTCGTTATCCGCTGAGAACGGAGGAACCAGTGAGATCTGCAACACCACGACCCCTGCATGTTCCTCAAGCAACGTAACATGTGGGAATACGTTCACTGTTCAGGTCACCTCTGTGAGGGGCGGCTGTCACAGTGAGCACATTCAGTCCCACAGCATCCAGTCAGGTATGAAAACAGAAAAATAACTTCCACCTTCACATAAACCCATTAATTAATTTAGATTTACCACTGGTGTGTTCTTCTTAGCGCCATGCCAGCCTCAGGGAATCAAAGGAAACCTCAACTGTGTGACCAACTCCGCCTGGATTTCATGGGATGCTGCTCCTGGAGCAGAGAGCTACACCGTGTTGGCTTTAGCAGAGAACCACAGAGCCAACTGCACCACCTCCACCAACACGACATGCGAGGTGGAAGACCTGGCTTGTGGCGTTCTCTATCTTTTCACTGTCACGGCTAAAAACAGCCACTGTGAGAGTCCGCCGAGTGCCTCCATCAGCTTGCAGACAGGTACTTGAGTCTTGTTCAGTCAGATTCAAGTGTCATCAAAAAGTTTTATTTCTGCTGTTCAGTAAAAGAACTATTTCCTGTCCTTCAGCACCTTGCTCGCTCTCTAGTATCACCGCCTTCGCTCAGTGCCACAATTCCTCCATCCTCGTTGTGTGGGACAACACGGAGAGCAATGGGGGGAACACCGTGTACACAGCCACAGCAGTAGCTAGTGACTACACCTCCCTGACCTGCAACGACACCGGCAGCAGCTGCTTCCTCCACGGAGCTCGGTGTGACCTCCGTTACACCATCAGTGTTGCTGCTTCCTCAGACCACTGCAGCGACTTGAGGAGTCCTCCTTACAGAATCAGCATGGGTACGCCTCTTCAAAAAAAAAAAACAGCTCATGACTCCGAATGAAGTTTGATTACTGTCGAATTAGAAGCAATGACTGTTGCCATGTCTCAAAGCCTTTAAAACTGTTGAAATATTAGAAAATAAAGACTGTTAGAAGCCAAGACAGGATTATTTTAAGATACATTTTAGTGGCAAAACCTAGCTAGAATGCTAAACTGTAAATTGTACAAGAAAACCAGTCGAATGGACTCAAAAATTTAAGCAATTGATCAAAACAGGACAGGAGAAAATAGGGAAGGAACTAAACAGTATATAAAATAATTTTAAGCAAAAAATAAATAAAATGAAACACACAAGCATCCATGATTATTAAACATCTAAAAAATAAAAGGAAAAATGATTCTAATCAGTATAAAAGTCCAAAGACAACGCAGAACAGTTTACAAGGTGCCCATCAAAGTAGCAAAACACAAGCTCAGAGCTTGAAGTAACAAAAGGGCTATTAAAAGTTAAAAGTAGCAAAAGGCTTGGTAAAGGTATCTAGAAGCTGAGAGGTGCAAAAGGCTGGCTAATAGTTAAAAGTAGCAGAATGGTAGCTCAGGCCAAAAGTAGCAAACAGCTACAATTAGCATAGGAAAGCAAAATAAAGAAAATATGTTGAAAATAACTTCTGAGAAAATAATGTTTTTGAAGGAATTTAGGAGTTCTGATTGTATTTCCTGTGGAAAATATTTGTAAATAAAGTTATCATTCACACAATAACTGATATCCCTCTTCTGGATTTTCAGAGCCCTGTCCGCCCAGAGATGTGATGGTGAACGCTTCCTGTGAGCAGCGCAACGCTCTGGTCTCCTGGACTCCTTCTCTTGTTGCTGAAACCTACCATGTTGTTGCCACGGCTGCAGACGGACACAAACACATGTGTAACACCACCTCCAGCAACTGCAGTCTGTCGGAGCTCCACTGTGACCAGCAGTACACGGTGTTTGTGACTGCCGGTCATGAGAACTGCTCCAGCATAGCCAGCCAAAGTGCCAGGCTGCACACAGGTGTTTGTTCTCAGACGTGTAGGACATCAGTAATCACGGTAACTTGTTCCGACGGAGAGTTTAAATCATCCTGATTTCCTCTATGTGCAGGTGCCTGCCAGCCACGTGGACTGTCAGTTACCCACCACTGTGAAAGCCAAGCTGCAGTGTTAACATGGACGCCCAGTGATAATGCTGAGGAATATTATGGCTGTGCTCAGGCTGAAAACGGAGACAGGCTCTACTGTCACAACACTAACTCCACCTGCACTATGGAGGGACTCGACTGTGGAATAGTTTACAACTTCTCTGTGCAGGCCTCAGATGGGACATGCAACAGCTCCCGCAGTGACCCTGTGCAGACAGGCGGAGGTATAAAAACTTATTTTACTCATCAGAGTCGAATTATCACCTACTGCACTGATATTCAACTGGTGGCGAGCTCAGCTTGGCCCACCAATGGGTTCATTTTGAAATAAAACTAGATTTTAAACCATAAAACAAACTTAATGACAATAACTACTGGATCCAACGCCTGAGCTCTTGGCTTTTAGTAACTGTGGCCCCATGAGCAATTTAATTGAATAACTCTGACCTACTGCCTAAAGGTGAAGACAAACAAAACTGTTTTTGCTTGAATCTGTGTGGGTTTGTGTGCCCGTTACCATAATGCCTCATGAATCACCAGATAAATTTTAACGAAGCTTGCATGAACTAATCGTTAGATGTATGTAAATCATTTTTTACTTGTAGTTCCTTGTCCTCCGGTGGCTGCTGAGATGAAGCTGACACCGATGGAGATGGAGATCCAGATGCTGCGCTTCAGCTGGACACAGGCCCTCTGCGGGGAAACGGAGAACCAGCTGACTTTGACAGGAAACCTGCTGGGAAACGACCAGACTCAGTTTGAGCTCTCATCCTACTGGACAAACGTATCGTACTTTGAAATCCCTCTTCCCTGCAGTTCATATTATCGCGCCACGCTACAGAGCAGGAACGCTGCTGGCACGAGCAACAAATTTGTGCCCCTCAATGGAACAACAGGTACAGCCAATTCCACACAGGTGCTTTTAATCTGTGTTGGTAATTACATTTAAAGTCTAAAAGTAGAGATTATATTGGGAGGAGAAGGAGGTTAATAAGGTATTTCTCCATTTTCCAGCCCCTTGCCCTCCATCAAGTGTGACATACAGTGGGAACAGCTCCTTTGCCACAGTTTCGTGGAATCCTTCAGTGTTTGCCAACACATACATCATATATGACAACAGTGTAACACCAAAGGCTCCGCTGTGCAACACCACAATGCTGTCCTGCTCTCTGTCCAACATCGCTTCCAACAGTCTGCAGGTCACAGCCAGCAACGCAGCAGGAGAAAGTCAGCCAGTGAACGTCACACAAGGTGAGAACTGATGCCAAACATGGGGGGAACATGAAAACCTAAGGTTCTTTAAAAATAATGCTTTTTATTTTTAGATGCAACACATTTACGTCTGAGGCGGGATGTCAGTGGGAAAGAGTCAGAGGACGGTGAGTTTAACATTTGCAACCATCACTGCTAATATCACAGTTTTTATTCAAACTGAACCTAAATATTACAAACTTTTAAAGTTTTAACAGGCTTAAACTTCTTATGAGGTAAACTATCCAAGGTTTTTCATCACCTATTTGTCCTTGGGCAATCTAAAATTTATTCAAGGTTCAAGGTTCTTTTTTGTCATCCACATCACATGCGGTACATGAGGTGGAACTAAATTGTGTACCCAAGGTCCCAGTTACACCCCAAAATAGCAAAAATATAAAGTATAAAAAGAAACAGTATGCAAGGATCTAAAATATTGTATACGCTAAACACTAATAATGTAAAATAATGCGGTATATTAAACAGTATATTAAACAGCAGCCCTAACATTTCATGTGAAAAGTGCTTCTGCCAATGGTTGTCTGTATGACTGTCTGCTGTGTTAGCAAAATATGATCCAGAGGGCCGATCTGATTAACATTTAGGGTCAACTTCATTCAAGATGGCTGCCACAGCTTAGCAAACAAAAATGGATATCTCTCAGTTTACAGATAATGAGCTAAAATTTGGCGCGAAGGCACAAAAATCAGTTCAAAATATTTAAATTAACCAATGGAGTCAACTCTGCCTGTCTGTTAGCAAAATATCTCATAAACTACGGAAGAGATTTTAGTTAAACTCTCGGAAAGTAATAACTGGATGGGTGCTTGGGTCCAAAAACTAAAACCTCATTAAAAAAAAAACAGACTCCAAACAAACACATGTTTCAAACAAATTTATAACAAGTTATAATCATCAACATTAAAAGAAATAAACATTTAAAATATATCAGTCTGTATGTAATAAATGAATATAATATACAAGTTTCACTTTTTGAATGGAATTACTGAAATAAATCAACATTTTCCTGATATTCAAATTTTATGACCAGCACCTGCTTATTGTGCTAAAAAATCATTTATTCATTCGTTTAAAATAAACAAAACAAATTAATTTAAGAAAATTGAATGAAAAGGGTGCAGAAAGAAGAAAACAATTTTTAATATCTGCTCCATATTTTAAAACAAACAAACAAACAAAAAAAACTACAAACAACAACCTTCACTTGAACAATCTCCAAATTAAAAACAAAAAATATCAGGCATTCTTCACATTGTATCATACTTTCTTAACATTTTTAACTTAATCTTCTTTTTTAAACATATAAATTGTTTTGAGAAATTTTTATGGTGATATCGAGACAATTCCACAATCATATTCCCTGAATTACAACACAGCTCCTTCAGACTAGTTCTACATGTAAATGGAGGTTTTACAAACATTTCCATTCCCTTAAGGTTATAATGACTATTTTTTAACAAATTTTAATTGAATATTTGGGGGTAATATATTTTTTTGAGCTTTATACATGACTTGTAAAGTACTATATACAACCAAATCATAAAATTTAATCATTTCAACTGATGCAATAATATATTTGTTTGGTGACCATAGCACTTCCTACTAATAATCCTTTTGGCTCTTTTTCATCCATCCATTCATCCATCCATTATATTCCACTTATTCTGAACTCAGGTCGCGTGGGCAGCTGCTTGAGCAGGGAGGCTCAGACATCTCTTTCCACAGTCACCTCTTCCAGATCTTCTGGGAGGATTCCAAGGCGTTCCCAGGCCAACCGAGAAACATAGTCTCTCCAGCATGTCCTGGGTCTTCCCCGGGGACTCCTCCCAGTTGGACATGCCTGAAGCACCTCTCTAGGGAGGCGCCCAGGGGGCATCCTTATCAGATGCCCGAACCATCTCAACTGGCTCCACTCGACGTGGAGGAGTGGCGGTTCTACTCTGAGTCTGTCCCGAATAACTGAACTTCTCACCCTATCTCTAAGGGAGAGTCCAGCTACCCTGCGGAGAAAACTCATTTCAACCGCCTGTATCCACAATCTCATTCGTTCGGTCACTACCCAGAGCTCATGACCATAGGTGAGGTTAGGAACGTGGACCGACCGGTAAACAGAGAGCTTTGCCTTACAGTTCAGCTCTCTCTGCACCACAATGGACTGGTACAGAGTCCACAATACTGCAGATGCTGCACCAATCCGTCTGTCAATCTCACGTTCCATTCTTCCCTCACTCGTGAGCAAAACCCTGAGATACTTGAACTCCTCCACTTGAGGCAGAACCTCACCCTCGACCTTAAGAGAGCAATCCACCCTTCAGAGATGGAATCCTGAGGCCACCGAACTGGAAACCCTCCGTCAGCTGGCTGCACCGAGAAATTCTGTCCATTAAAGTTATGAACAGAATTGGTGACAATGGGCAGCCCTGGTGGAGTCTAACTCCCACCGTGAAGGGGTCCGACTTACTGTCGGCAATGCAAACCAAACTCTCGCACCACTTGTATAGGGACTGAACAGTCTGTAACAATGGGCCTCCAATCCCATACTCACGGAGCACCCCCCACAGTGCACCCTTAGGAACACGGTCGAATGCCTTCTCCAAGTCCACAAAACACATGTAGACTGGATGGGCAAACCCCCATGACCCCTCAAGGACCCTAGTGAGGGTAAAGAGCTGCTCCAGTGTTCCACGGCCAGGACAGAACCCACATTGTTCCTCCTGGATCTGAGGGTCAACCAACGATCGGACTCGCTTCTCCAGTACCCCTGAATTAGGGCATAAACAGAATACTCGAGTAATCTACACATCGATTACTAGGACATCTATCGAGGTTAAAAATTTAACATTGAGTATCCGTAGTGACGTCGTATTATGTGACCACTGTATGACCGTAGGGGGCGGTGTTGCACTGTTGCAGGTCACAGAGTATGGTGTAACACCGGGTCCAATCCACCGAACCAGAACCAGTTTCGGTTAAGTTTCGTTTTTGACGTGCTGCATGTTTCTTCAGGTTTGCAGTTTAATAATAATAACTAATAGTTTAGGTTTTCCTGTGACTTATTTGCAGTATGATAAATGGTAGGAGCATAATATACGCTCCCAATGTTTTGTTGGTCTTTTTTTTTTTTTTGTAAATAATTACCTTTTTTTGCGGTTTTATTTATTTATTTATTTTTGTATCTTGAGATCTATGACGCCATCAAATACTCGAGTTCTACTCGGGTTTTATTATGTTAATGTCGAGTTTAAAAATTATATACTCGTTTAACCCCTACCCTGAATAGACCTTACCAGGGAGGCTAAGGAGAGTGATGCCCCTATAATTGGAGCACACACTCCAGTCCCCCTTTTTGAAGAGGGGAACCACCACCCCAGTCTACCAGTCCAGTGGCACTGCCCCCGATGTCCACGCGGCATTGCAAAGGCGTGTCAGCCAAGACAGCCCCACAACATCCAGAGCCTTAAGGAAATCAGGGTGAATCTCATCCACTCCCGGAGCCCTGCCGCCTCGGAGCTTTTTAAGTACCTCGGCAACCTCAGCCACAGTTATGGACGGATCATCCCCAAAGTCCCCTGACAGCTTCTTCCCTGGAAGATGTGCCGGTGGGATTGAGAAGGTCCGAGAAGTATTCCTTCCACCTCCCGACGACATCACTGGTTGACGTCAACAGCTCCCCACCTTCACGTTTGCCAGAATCTCCTCGGAGCCGACCAAGTCTCTATCCAAGGTCTCACCAAACTCCTCCCAAACATCTGAGTTTTTGCCTCAGCAACAGCCAAGGCTGCACATCGCTTGGCCCTCCAGTACTCCTCAGCTGCCTCCAGAGTCCCACTGGCCAACAAGGCCCGATGGGACTCCTTCTTCAGCTTGACAGCCTCCCTAACCCAGGGTGTCCACCACCGAGTTTGTGGATGACCACCGCGAGAAGCACAGACAACCTTGTGGCCACAGCTCAAGGCAGCTACTTCAACAAGCGAGGTGCAGAACATGGCCCACCCAGACTCAATGTCCACCACCTCAGCTGGGATGCGGTTAAAGCTCTCCCGGAGGTGTGAGTTGAAGATCTCTCTGACAGGTTCTTCTGCCAGGCGTTCCCAGCAAACCCTTACTATGTTTGGGTCTACCGGGTCTGTCCGGCATCTTCCCCCGCCCTCTGACCCAACTCACTACCAGGTGGTGATCAGTTGACAGCTCAACTCCTCTCTTTACCCGAGTGTCCAAAACAAACAGCCGCAAATCAGACAATACGACTATGAAGTCAATCGTCGATCTACGACTTAGGGTGTCCTGGTGCCAAGTGTACTTATGGGCACCCTTATGTTCGAACATGGTGTTCGTGATGGACAAACTATGACTATCACAGAAGTCCAACAACAAAACACAGCTCGGGTTCAGATCAGAGAGGCCGTTTCTCCCAATCACACCCCTCCAGGTCACACAGTCATTACCCACGTGGGCATTGAAGTCCCCTAGCAGAATAAAGGAGTCCTCAGCTGGCGCACCTTCCAGCACCCCTACCAAGGACTCCAAGAAGGCCAGATACTCTGAACTGTAATTTGGCGCGTAGGCACAAACAACAGTCAGAGCCCGTCCCCCCACCCGAAGGCGAAGGGAAGCCACCCTCTCATCTACCGGGGAAAACTCCAACACACAGGCACCAGGTCGGGGGGCTACAAGTAGACCCATACTAGCTTGACGCCTCTCACCATGGGCAACTCCAGAGTGGAATAAGGTCCAACCCCTCTCAAGGAGATCAGTTCCAGAGCCCATGCTGTGTGTCGAGGTGAGCCCAACTATATCTAGTCGGTACCTCTCAACCTCGCGCACAAGCTCAGGCTCCTTCCCTGCCAGAGAGGTCACATTCCATGTCCCAAGAGCTAGCTTTGGTAAGCCAGGGTCAGAGCGCCAAGGTCCCCGCCTTCAGCCACTGCCCATGGCATCATGCACCTGACTTTTATGGCCCTTCCTGCAGGTGGTGGGTCCACAGGAAGGCAAACCCATGCTGCTCCTTCGGGCTGAGCCTGACAGGGCCCCATGGGCAGAGACCTGGTCACCAGGCGCTCGCCGACGAGCCCCTCCCCCAGGCCTGGCTCCAGGGTAGGGACCCGGTAACACACGTACGGGCAAGGGACACTGAGTTCCTTGTTTTGTCCATAAAAATCTTCTGAATCGCTCTTTGTCTGGCCTGTCACCTAGGACCAATCTGCCTTGAGAGACCCTACCAGGGGCAATTATAATTGCCCCCGATAGCATAGCTCCTAGGACCATTCAGGCGCACAAACTCCTCCACCACGATAAGGTAGCGATTCAAGGAGGTTTTTTTTTTTAGCTCTTTTTGTAAAATAAAAATAAGATTTGTAACTGTTTTGCATGCTTTTCCCCAAACTTCAACACAATAGATTAAATATGGAACAATCATTACATTATACAAATAAAGCTTTGTCGTTCAAAAACTCTTTTACTTTATACAGGAATACAATTGATTTAGCTATTTTTATTCTTAAGTAATTTAGATGAGATTTCCATGTCAGCTTATCATCAATAACAACACCCCAAATTTTATTTAATTAACTATGAATTTCAATACTGTCAATTTTAAATGGGACTTCGATAATTTTCTTTCTATTACTAAATAGTAATAACTGGTCTCACAACACTGATGCACTTTGCAGGAAGGGTCAGAGCAGATTCTACCTGCTGAGGAGATTGAGGTCTTTTGGAGTGCAGGGGGTGTTCCTGAAAACCTTTGACTCGGTAGTGGCATCAGCCATCTTCTGTGGTGTTGTCTGTTGGAGCAGCAGCTTATCATCAGCTGAGAAGCAGCAGCTAGATAAGCTCATCAAGAAGGTCAACTGTGTGCTTGGGCGCCCCCCAGTGCAGGTGGTGAGTGACAGAAGGACTCCAGCTAAAATAACATCATTGCTGGACAACGTCTCCCACCCCATGCATGAAGCTGTTGCATGGCCAGCTCGTTCAGTGACAAATTACTGCATCCTAGATGCACAAAGGAGCGTTACCGCAGGTCCTTCCTCCCAGCAGCTGTTAGACTCTACAACCATCACTGCTCCCAACAAACTCAATGAGGATTAAATACATGCTGACCTCTGCTAAAACACACTCTGCCTATAATACTGTACTGTAAATAGTCTGTCATTCTCATTATTCCAATATATATTGAACATTATTATTGATATTATCTTACTTCTTTATATATTGTTTTTAACATTTAGGAACTTTTGTGTGAATCTTTTTATCTTATTGCTGTTACACTTGAATTTCCCATCCGTGGGATAATAAAGGCTGTTTCTATTCTAAATATCACGTTTTTTTTTACAAATTTAATAACTTATTAAGTTGGAACCAATTGTATTTTTTGATGGTAGTTTGTAATTGGATGGTAGTAGCTCAACTCATACCCTGAGCACTGATCTCATGACATTTCACAATCTTGTTTGAGATCATACAAATCTTCATGCAAGAGATTTGATCAAACTGCCATAGGTTTAACGCTTTATCATAAATGGTCTGTTTTGAACTTTGGCATTAAAGACGCGTTTTAATTTTTTTGGTACTCGGGTGGTAAAAATGTCGTTCTCTCCATCAGCTCCACTGCTGGTCGTCAAGCAGGTCACCTCGACAATCATCGTCCTTCAGTGGGCTCCAGTGAAGCATGCTTCTTTTTACAACGTGCTGATCAGGAGGCAGGGCAGCCCTGAGCAGCACCAGAACCTCAACGTATACGGAGAGAGCATCATCCTCACCGATCTGAGCCCCGACTCCACCTACTGCTTCTCTGTGTTTGCCGTTTATAAAGAGAAGAGCGGAGCAGAGTCAGAGTCTGTGTGTGCACAAACGTACCAAGAGCTTACACAGTGAACATGGACGAAGCTCCAGGTTCTTATTAGACAAGTGGCAGCAGTTTTTAAATGACATATCCACCACGCTTAGTTTGGGTAGAATTTCTCAATTTGCCACAAAAATCAACATTGGGATTATTTGCACTTTTATATAAATCAACCCATCTTCTGTCAGTTGAAGTAACATTATATATATATATATAGTCTTTGCTCTTTGCATTTCTACAGCTTAAAGGTATCAAAACATGTATAAATACAACTTATGTACGTTAACATTTCTAAAATGTATATTTTATGCTACATTACAATAAAATGCTGAAATCTTAATTTTGATTGTAGTTGATTTTTTTTTTTTAATCAAGAGAGGGTCTTTTGTAAAAGTGTTTTATTAGAAAACAAAATGCATCGGAGCAACTCAAACACAACACAAGCAGGAATTGGGTGTACGTGATAAAAATAAACCTTTGGAGTTTGCCCGTCAGATTAAAACATTCTCAGACTGTCTACAAGTGATCACAAACAGAACTGGTTAGCACTGGCTTAGCTGCGTCGTCTTCATGCTAGTATCTGAATTCAAACCGTTGGTCGCTTTCATCTAATCTTAGAAATGAGCATTTGAGCAGGCTAAAGACAACAACCTTTTACAAAATAAATCCAATAAATGCTGACAGCACAAAGCTGAGCCTTCAAGTTCAACTCTGTCACATAACTGTGTGTAGACAGACTCGACATTCTGTACAAACCCATTTCTTTTGGGGGCAAAACAAAAATCGTATAATATAAAATGTTGTTCGTGATTTAACAGATTTTCAGATGAGGACTAACAACGTTCTAACGGGGAGTAAAACACTAAAAAAACAAAACAAACAAACAAAAAAAAAAAACAAATAGAAAGCAACATTACGTTGGCCAAAGAGATTCTGATGCCAAGTCTGCGTGCTGATCTTCCTCTTCGTCACTCAGCTGGTCAGACGAGTGAAGAAAAGGAAGAACAGAAAAAGTAGAATATTGCTGCGGGTTGTTTACTCAGCGCTCCGACTCCTCCTGCGGTCACTATGCTTACTATGTTCATTACTGGACTCTCGCTGACGGTTCCTCTCTTTGCTGCGGCTGCGTTTGTGATGTCTCTGTTCTCCGTCCCGCTCGCGGTCCCTCTCTCTGCTGGGGCTGTGCTCCCTCTTCCTCTTCTCATCTCCCCCACTTTTGTGCCGTCTTTCTTTGCTGCGGCTCCGGCTGGATCGTTTGGACTTCCTGTCTTCCCTGTGTCTGTCCCTGTCTTCTTTGTGCCTCCGCTCATCAGTCTCTCCCCTGTTCTTCCTCTCCCTAGACCTGTCCCTCTCCGTCCCTCTGTCTTTATCCTTATGGTGATCCCGCTCCTTCCTCCTGCTCCTGTCCTCCCCTCCGTCTCTTTCTTTCTCCCTGCGTTCACTCTTCCGCTCCCTGCTGCAACTTCTTTTGCGTTCTCGTCTGTCTTGGTTCCTCTCTGCGCTACGGGATCTTCGCCTTTCCTTGTCCCCCCTTTCTCCCCTGTCTCTGTCCCTCCCCTCCCTGTCCTTCTTCTGGCGGTCACGCTCTCGCTCCAGCTCACGGTCAAAGCTTGGGCCGCGGCGTTCTCTTTCATGGTGGTGGCTCCTGCTTCTTGACCGTTTGGGTGACTTTTTGGGACTTGGTGATCGTCGTGGGGTCCTGATCAGAAGCAAACAATCCATTAGACAATAAACCGGGACTGACTTTCAGCATCCCATCTAGAAACTGAACAGAAAAATATAATAAATTGGAAAACAATCTAGTTGAATTACCTGGAGTGGCGCTGTTCCCCTTGTTTCCCTGACTCTGAATAACTACCAGTAGTCTCTTCCTCAGTCTCTTTCTGAGCCACCTTACGTGGCCTTGCCTTCATATGTTGATCAATCTGCTTCTGTACGGGCACTGGGATTCGGGGGAACAAAGTGGAGAACCATTCCAGTTTGGTCAGGAACGAGCGCAGCATCTCTCCAATGGTCATCACACAGCCACCTCCTGCTTTTACGTCAAGCTCCTAAAAACAAAAAAAATGAAGACAAAAAACACAGAAAAACCCTTAATGCACATGATTTAAACTCAAGTTTTAGACTGCTTTGTAAATCTCGCCTCGTATAAAATTTATTTTGTGATGACCACGTACTGAACCTTCACCTCTGTTCATCTAGCTTAATCTTTCATATCAATCAAATAAACTTGGTCTAACTTCTAAAAATTACCAGAGGAAACAAAATGATAATAATCACACATGGTTTTCCTCATCTAACCTATCTGGAATGTTCCTAGTCTGTATTTACAGCGTGAGCTTCAATATCTTCTATTAAATTTGAAAGAACCATACTTCTTCTTTCATATCATTTTAAACAGCATCTTCCAAAAACAGTAGTCGTTACATTTTAAAGCAAAAATATGTTGTTGGGATCTGTTGTTGTGCTGAAGGGATGAAGAAAGAGGAATTTTGTTTCCATTTTCTATTTCCCAAAAGCATTAAAAAGCCTCACGGAGGATTAAAACTGCCCACAGTGTAAGTACAGATTGTAGCAGGTGGGTAAGCGCACTCCAGATGAAAAGATATCAACTTTATATGGTAGAGAACAGCTGCTTTGCACTCACGCAAACCAACAGTGTTGAGATACAATATCCAATTCACCTGCTGCACAATGGGCATCTAAAGGAAAAAACAGGTGAATTAACCAGTGGTGTAGGATTTTACAGTGATCAGTTCAAATACAATGCAACATAATAAAAAAGAAGGCCTGGCTGCACAACCTAGCACCAGACTGTATTTTAAATCAAGAAATAGGCAAAAACATATAAGGCAAAACTTTACTGCCTAGAAAATATGGATTTATGCAAAAAAAAAAAATGCAAATTTTTTCTGAGTTTTAACAAATTAGCCATTTAAAAGTTTGACGTTAATAATTGACATAAACTATAATTTTACTATTGTGCAACAAGTCCTAATAAAAAAAAAATCTTATTAAAAATAAATAAATAAAACGAAGAAAACCCACAAAGTACATGCTCTATCAATAAATTGTCTAAAAGATTTATGGAGCATCGGTACTTACCCAGAGACAAACTGCAGCAGAGAGGCGGACAAGTAAACTAGCTACTGAGGCTCGAAGAACACAAATTGGGAACAATTAAGCCAAATGAAGGCAAAGGTGAAAAATCAGCTATGAGCATCACAAGGGAGGTGGGTGGGGGGGAACTGGCAGCTTTTAATGTGTGCTGATGGACTGAATATTTTATGAAAGAAAAAAACATAATCAAAAAAAAGATTAAAATATTACCCGAGGTGACATACCTCCTCATCATCCAGGAAGCCATCATACCACTCTAATAAATCTGTCGGCGGCTGAGTGTATCTGTGGAATAAACAAAACACATAAGAATACAGCTACATATCAAATCATACTAAGATCTAGTTCTCGTGCTAAATGTCATACCTGATGTACATGAATCCAAGTGCTCTGATGAATGGAGAGTCTGTGTGAGTGATCAGACCCATCAGCTGTTTGCGTGTCAGCTTGAGTGTAAACAGTTTGTAAAGAAGACAGTAAGCAGTAGAAACAATCCCACCAGTCCCAACTCCACGCACCTGCCAGAATCAGAGAACAGATTTGATAACAAAATCACAGCACATAACTTATCAATATCAACTTCTTGGCACAAGAACTAAATGGGATAAATCGTATTTTAAATATATATTGTATAAATAAATGACATAAAGCAGTATCAACGGACTTCCCTGAAAGCTCCGTTCAATCCTTACATAAAATGCAGGACGACAAAATATGAGGAATATAAAAAGCACGTACTTCTCACTTACCCCTCCGCACATTCCTGTCTGACCTGCAGTCTTTCTGCTTCCTTTTTCCCAGGGCTCAATGTGAATGACCTGCAAGCGCACACAAACACCTCATTTAATAATTACACTGTAATTATTACAGATACATACTTGTGGAGGAAGCAGTCATGTAGCACACTTATTAAAACTAGTAAACAGATGTTTTAATTAAAAATTTGTAGGTTTCACAGAACGCTGAAGAACATAAGTACTAAAATATCTGCATTAATAGCTGTTTTGTCCTATAAATTTTACTTTTATTAAGTAATTTATAAATACATCTATATAACACACATTTCCTAAGCACCTATATAGAAGACAAACCTGTCCCTGATTGCATAGTTTGCAGTTTTATTTACATACATATTTAGTCTTTGTGCCAAGATAACTGGGACATTTTAAACGTCAGTGCCCTGAGGCCTTATGTTCTATATATAATACTGTACATCCATGTACCTTGAGCATGCATCAGGATACTCCATGTACCTGTTCAATCAGCTAACTAACGCCACCTATTGCTTGTAACTTGGTTCGTTCAGCTCACGATAAAGTTACAGATTAGTACGATGTAATCACATTAGCGTTAATGCTACATTCAATTCATCATCAACTAACTTTAATTCAACACCATCCGATCCCTGTTCCCTTATTTGACACGTAACGTACATTTTCTTCACAATGAGGCAGGTCAGAATGGACGCGGTTGTCTTAGCATGCGGGTTAGCAACACAACGGCTAACGTTCACGTTACCTTGAAATAAATTTCGTCCACAACTTCATGGTAAGTCTTTAGTTCGTAGAGCTGAACTTTGAAATACGGCGAAGACAGTACATTAGTAAGAATCATTGGGTTGAGGTTCATAGTCTTTTCGTTGCCCCACAGGGGCAGTACGTTTCCATGTTTCCCAGACTTGGCAACGGCCTGTGTTGCTAACTGGTTTCCGACGTTAGCCATGATGTTAGCTGAATTCCGCACCGCGAAGCTCAGTTTTCTTTTAGCGTATTTCCAACTACAAATCCATCAATTACAGATAGTGAATTGTCGATTGTTTACAATTATGTTCGCCTTGTTATTTTAAATCCGTGGTTAAAATGGTATTAGTAAATTCCCGCCGTCCGTTTCAGCTATAGAGCTACTGCTAGGTTGAACACCGGAACTGAGTGCTGCGTAACGACAGGCTGCAACCAGAACTACGTCATTACAGCTAACGCTTTGTTTAAAAGTAAAAGCATATGCTCATTCACCACGTTTTAAAGTATTTTTAACTGTGTAAAGATCTGTACAAATATAGAGTAATTCATTCTGCATTTTTAAAATTGATAGTTTTTCACAACACAGAACTAAAAAACAACAACTTTGTTTTGATATGAACTACAAAACAATAATTTTGATATTTATTTTGAAGGTTATTTCCTAAACAGGAAGTAGCCGTTTTTTCAACTACAGGTCGTGCAGATGTCTAGTTTTTTTAATTTATTCAGAACTTGAAAATGCAGATTTTTAACACTCTTATGTACAAAAATAAGTAAAAGTGTTACCCATTATTTATTTAAAGAAACGACAGTGTGTATGTGTATATACAGTATATATATATAATTAAAAATCTGAGTACAGATAATCTGGAACATAGGGGTTTAATCCTAATTTGGGATAGAAGCATGTATATGTTTTACTAGTTTTACATTCAACTTTAGGACATTTTAAACAGTTAGGTAAAAATACATTAATTTAATCTCATTATACAGAAACAAACTCACACACATGCATATATTATACAGTACATAAAGAACAAATATTCTTCTGAAACAAAATAGAAACTTAATGATTGTCCTAAATGTTGTCTTCCTTCACAGCACAGCGAACAAAGGTGGGGTTTATTCATTTGGTGTTGTTTTTTTTAGCAAGTTGAGTCATTTACTAAAAAAAAAAAAAAAAAAAGTGAGCTACTAAATAAAGAAAAAGTAGCAATTTTCCGCAACTGAATCAATTGAATTGTTTCTCTTACAGTGTGTTCATTTTGGTTTAAAAGAAACAATTTTAAAGCTTCATCAGTAACGATAATTGCTGAGCACTATTGTGGTAGAAAGATTAACTCTGCAGAAAAAATGGGCATAAAATGAAACAAAAATCAAAGAGGTGCCACAGTGGGTGGATTGACATGTAGATACATGTCCATTCTTTGTTGCTTTCACTAAAAGGGAAGAGCACATTAAATCCAGTATGGCCAAATTCGTTACAAAGCACAAGAAGACCAAAAGAGAAATTTGTGCACCAGCTATCTCAGTGTACAAAAAGTTTAAATTTCATGGCCTTCAGCTGCATCTTTTGAACACTTGAAGTCTTTCATGACAAACACATGTTGTAGGTCACAAAGATGGGTTTCATAAGAGAACCAAGAACTTCTGGAAGCGAGTTCTGAAGGCACATCCAGAGCACAGCCTTGTGACCTCTTCAGAGAAATAGAGTCCTTCTTGTGTCAGAGTCAGGCTTCCTAAAGCCCACCGATCACCACCTGCTCAAAGACCCCGGCTGTGACCCTGAAACAGAACGTCACAGTGTGTTACATGACAGAAAATTAGGGTTGTTATCTCTGGCAAAGAGACGTTTGTTAATCTGCAGTTATCCTGATGCAAAATTTAAATAATTTAAAAACATTTTAATGGTGGGGATCCAATGTGATCTGATGTGTTTATTGCAAAAAATATATAATAATTTAAACCTTATCTAGTGTGTTATTACTCCAGTAAAAGCCTGGTGTGTGACACCCACAGCCTGCAGTTACGTAATCACACCCACCTCGTGTTCTGGCTTCCCAACGCAGTACTCCCACCAGGACCAACAAACAAGCTGAGCCCCTCCTCTGCAGTAACACATACATGTACACATTTAAAATAAGAACACTGATAAGCATTACACATAGTCAAGTGATAATAAATCTGTCAGAGTCGACCAATGACTAAAACATGATGTGCGGGACAAATTACTACAAACCACTGCAGCCTCTGAGTTGAGTATTTAGAAATAGCGCATAGCAACACCTCAAAGTAATTTGACCCCACCAGTAGGATGCTAAGTAATTTTCCACGCCAGGATTAGATGTACACACCCTCTGTACTGGAATCCAAGAAGCCATGGCTGAAATCCTGGCTCTGTAGGATTTTCTCTATTATGTCATCTGCGTCCACGCGAGTGGCGTCGACTCTTTTCAACTGATTCTCCACTGAGTTCTGTTTTACTGGATGTCTGAAGAAAAAGAAAATAAACAAATAAGTTTCATACTGCAAATAACTTCTTTTGGTATTTAACAAAAGCATAATATAAGAACAACGTGAGAAAAAAACAGCAGTAATGAAAATAATATATATCCTCCTAAGACCCGAACTCTTGCATGACATGCGCATGTGGATGCCAGGTCCTAGGAGGTTAAATATTATTATTTATTAGGGTTATTTTTTATGTTGTTTAGCCATTCCAATTTGATACATTAATTGCAAGTATTTTATATTATTGTCATTATGTGGAAACAGGATTTGAAGCCCAAACAATTTAGTCTACAAATATTTTTTACTTTTGTATTTTATTTTTATATGTTATTGCTAAGAACTTGTCCTTGTTTGATGATTCATGGATGCCTCTGAGCGTTGTCTTATGGCAAAAGTAAACCTCAGTGAATCAACACATCCCATAACAGGCAAAAAAAAACATTTGTGTATGCCAATTATTAGCTTTAGATTAGATTTTGTTTGTCAAACATGTTAGAAAATATAAAAACAAATACTTTATATTCAATAAAAATATTCTGCTTCCAAGTCCACGAATGGATTCAGACAAACAATGTGTTACCTTTGAACCTTGTTGGGAGAAGAGGGATTTTCACATGAATGATGACAGGTTGCAGTGAATGTGAGCGTGGGCCTGCTCTCCTTCTCATCCCTCTCCCCCAGCTGATCATTGGGCTCGATACTTCCGATGCCAGTAGAGGCAGAACCGCCCGAACCATTTCGTCGATGGCTTAGCTCTACTGAACTTGAGTGGTTCGAACTGTAACCTAAAAAAAATAGTGAGAAGAATGTTTGTCATTTGTATTGATTTGTAGTAATTTGTTGCTTTGTCTTTAAAGAGAGAGACTAAGTATTAGCACCTGAGAGTTTTGAAAGCTGACTTGTATAGCTGGGCGTTCTGGAGTGACCATAGGATGACAGCTCCTCTGGGACTGATACTGATTGTCTCGGAAAGTCTGAAAGAAGTATGACACAGAGATTAAACCAGAAAAATCACAGTCAATCTCAAATTTTGTTGACGTAATTCACACACACGAAAAAAAACAGTAAACCCCCCCACCCATTAAATTGTCTTTTTTACTTTGTTTTAATGGTCTTAAATAATCATAAAGCAACAATTACAATTGATCTCAAAATCTCTGCATTTATCAGTAACTTGGAGGTTAAAATAAACAATGTTAGAATTACAAAGTATTAAATATTTCATCATTTAAACTAGGGGTGCACTGAAAATCAGCCAGCCTATTTACCGGCCCTGATTTCCTTAATTTTGGGAGATCGGGCGATACTTAAATGAGAAACCGATTTTACAGATTTTCTGTAGTTCAGACAGGAGCACTACCTCATGGCCAGTTAAAACAAGTTTGTATTGTTTCTAGGATATTGTTCAAGGGTATGTTTTTCAATAAAATAAGATTAGAACATTGAAGGTGCATTGTGACCTTATAACACCTGACAGTGTCGCTTATAAAACAAAATCCGTATCGGCCAACATTGGAATCGGCAGGTCAGGTTTTTAGAGATCAGTGATCGAACAGAAAACTGCAATCGGTGCACCCCTACTTTAAACCCTTAAAGTGTATGTGCACATACCAGTTACAGAGAGAGGTGTGTGCATGTCTCCCCCTTTTCTGTCCTCCAGCAGTCCCTCTGCTTCAGCCTGGGAAGTTCCCAGAGTCATGGCCGTAGATGGTGGACTGAAGACACACAAACCAGTCAAGGTGTTTGAAAGCCCATACTAAATGTAGCAAATACGACGGTAAGATGGAGGAGGAAGGGTGACACTTTCTCCCCTCCACTACATTTGTTTTATTTATTTAGCACTCGTTAAAATGGGGCACCAGCTGGTCAGTTTACTGACCAACAACATCTTAATTAATATATTCGCCCACAGAATCAGTCACTGAAGTAGAATTCGTTAATTACAGGGAGTCCCGTACCAGAACAAATGAATATTCATCTGAATGAAGAAACCAAAGTTGTCTTTGAAATTTTATTGCAAAAATAAGAATCAACAACAATAATAATGACTCAATCAAGGCTTAATTCTCTTATCTAAGGCAAAATTAACTCTGAGCAGGAATTATTTCGGTTTTCATACGTGCATGAATTTAGACAAAGTTTGACTACTTTAATAAATAGTTTGCTTTGGATTTTGGTTAAAAGAAGCTACTGAACGTGATCAGATAAGTCATTTATTATCACTGCAAGGAAAGGATTTACCAAGTTGCATCAGCTAAAATGGCATAACCAAACAAAGGCATCATGTCACCAGGTATCACCCAGAGTTGTTGGAAAATGACCTATTTTAATCGTCTCATCGTTATATAGCTTTCACTGACCAGCAAAGATTCAGTTTGTTAGTAGAACTTTCTTGTGCACATTTATTAAAGACAGACACCCCTAATGGGTTTCCATTAAACATATAAGATTTTTATGCAGGCAATAAAGTTGTTTCTAATAGAATTTTTTTTTTTTAGCAAGAACAGTAGTCATTACCGGTACATTAAATATTAATACTGCTGAACAGGCTATATTAAATTGTGTTTTCAGCCTGGCAGACCAGAATATTAATAAAATCCTCACTGTTTCAGAGAGGATGGAAAAGCATCACCAAATCAAGCATTAAACTCTAAACCAGTCTCTATATCATGTGAAAGGACTGTTTTTGTCATGATATACATGCATAACTTTAAAGTATTAAAAACACTGTTTTTTATTTTTTCCAGGTTAATATATGCTGATGAAAAAAAAAGTATAAGCAAGTTTTATTTCTGACAACACATTTCCTGTAAAACACAACAAACTGGATCTTTAGGAACATTACACTATACACAGACTATGTTTCTATTACCAACAGTAAAAATAGTTGATTTGTGTAATACTGTCAGGCTTTTTGTCCTCAGTTCTGCTGACTTTTTGCTCTTTGTAAATGAAAAATAAAATAAAAACAAATGTTTTCCCCTAGCAGACATTTTGGATTGTCATAGCAGGAATGGCACAAAAGGAATAGACATTTAGTATCCGTGTTGCATTTTGATCAACTTATTCCAGGTTCTGTTCAAGAAATGCATTCTGTCTTAAAGCTGAGGCTTCTTTGGGGAAAAGTGAGGAATCAAAGTCAACATTAACAAAAAGTGTTTAACTTGTGCTTTTCCTGTAACGTCAAAAACCTACTGAAGAATGTTCACATCAAGCCTCTATAAAAAACAGTATCACTTGATTTATTTTTCTCTTCAGTAAAATATAGTAACATATAAGTGATAAATTAGTCAGTTTTAATGTTTGGTATGTTTCAACTGGAATAAAGACAGGAAACTCAAGTTTGTATTGACCTTAGGCAGACAAGCAGAGTTAACCCTCCCTACAGAGCGGGTAATACCTTGTGGGACGAATGACTAAGCTTCAGACGTCTCCAAGGCAGCACCCTGTGTATTATTACAGTAAACAGGACATGGGAAAAAAGCTTGTGTTGAATGAAGGAGGTGTAATGTTTGAACATGGTGCACACTCTTCCAGAAGGGCACATTCTTTGTGACAATCTTCACATTTAAATATGTAGAAATGTGATCTTTGAGCTCAGTGGATCACATCAAGTCTGCCTAATGCGTAAGGTAGGGCAGATAAATATCAGGGTGAGGTGCTGTTAGCGCTGAGATCAGATACAAAGAGAATCTGCATGGGAGCCTGCAATAAAAGACGAGTGAGTGTGTTTTCAGGTTAGGTGAGTATGTAATAAGATCTGGTGAAACCTCTTTCCTTTGTGGTCAGTGGAGAGAAAAAAAAAGTTCTTTATTTGTAACCACAAACATAAAAAAACAAGACAAAGTTTATTTAAAACTGAGCTGGTGTTTAGAGCTGAACAGCTAAAGAATACCAAAAAGAGTTCTTACGTTTTAAAGCAAGGGTCTCCTGACATGAGCTGTGTGGTGATGACAACCTGTAACAAAGACAAAAGCAGCAAAATTATGGCTCCCGGTTTTACTTGCTTCACGAGGCTGCAGCAGACTGGAGCCCCACGTCTCAGCAAGAAAATGCAAGAGTTGAACACGTTCCCAGAGACATGTCTGGAGGCTCAGACATGTCTCTCTGCTTGTTTGACTCAGTGAGGCCGATGCGACATGAGCTGTAGGATCGTGGAATGACTATGAAACAGGATGTTTTAATGATGAAAGCCAGTGATCGTGGAATGATTGTGAATGACCATACCTTGAGAATTGAGTTGTCTTGTCTGGTGTTTTTCGTGTCGTACCCCTCCAGAAGACATCGTCGTACAGTGCTGCCAGACCCAGCAAACTCTGACAGGTTCAAGTCAGCAAAACCCAGCTTTGCAGAAATGAAAATGATCAAAGCGTTTTAACTGATAAGCAGAGGCAACTGTTTAAACACTTAAAAATGTGTAACTTGTTTAATTTTCTACCAGTGCATGCACCTGTGAGTCAAGGTATGAGTAAGTTTTTACATAAATGGGAATGTGGCACTAAAAAACAATCTACATTCAGAGGTCACATTTTTTTTTTACGTTGAATAAAGTTATCAGTTAACAGGGTTCGTGTTTTGATTTACCGGCTTTTCAATCAGTAACCAAAGCCGGAAGGTGGGAAAAGACTTGCTTATCTAAAGAGCGGGTTTACAACTTTAGAGGAGACGTCTTACCTTTGCAAAAGACTTTCCACCTTTTAGTTCCTGAAATAAAAATTTAAAATAAGTACACTGCATTTGCTCGTAACCTAAATATGTGACAATACCCAAAAATCCCTGCAGTTTGACAGAGATTTACATATACACCAATATTATTACTGATAATAATAATAATAACATACCTTGCGCACAGACACTCGGCACACACAGGGGTCCAGCACTCCTGTCCCAGCATTGGCACTCATTTTACAGATAAAAGAGAACCTCTTCTTCCAGTACACACAGTTGGCTTGGACGGGCTGTCTGAGAGACGAAGACAATCGAAAAGTTCAAAATCTGAACTTGTAAAACATGTTTATAAGTTTATAATCTTTTACTCTTGGTACAAAATACTTTTTTGTGTGTGTGTTTTTTTATTTTATTTAGTTTACAATTTAAATGAGATGACAGATAAATGCTTATTTGTTTGAAAATAGTAAAAGAAAAAACTAAGAAGTGTTGCATCTTAGTGTTATGACTGATCTTCCAAGTGACTCAGATGAGTATAAAGTTTTTCAATGGCCGTGTTTTTGCGGCCCACGTGCATTCAGCGGAACGCCAGTCCTTGTTGCTTAGCAACGACTTTTGTCAGCCAGTAAACACAGGTTAGCATAAAACTACAATTTGTACTTCCGGTAAATTCCTGTTTGAATTTATATCGACTAAATAACTTTTAAAATCACGTTAAATCTCTGTATTAGCGGAGTTTTTTTCCTCCTCCAATCTTCCAACTGTTGACTGCTAAGTACCAAGCTAGCTAATATTAAAAAAAAAAAAAAAAAAAAAGTCTATTAAACAGCAACGCTAATATAAACTGGTAGCAAGTTTTATTTCAGGTTAACTTGTTTGTATCTGAGCTATAAATAGAAGAGTTTGAAAGTCTTACCGAGATGACTCCTCGGCGAAGCCTCCGTCTAAAAGTCTCACTTTACAAAATATAACTCCGTTCACGAAAGGAACAGATGACAACTCGTCCAGGTCAAAGTCTATCCTAAATCTAAATCTTTTTTTCTTCATGAGGATGAAAGACATGATGGTGGCGCTCTGTGTGAGGTGGAAGAGCTGAACACCTCTCTCTGCTCCGTGATTCAGCTGCCTGCTACAGACACGATTCAAAGTTCAAACCTTTTCTTTCGCATCCACTGAAAACACCACGCATGACGTCAGAGAAAACGTGCTTTCTGATTGGACAGAGAGAAAATGAGAATAACAATAAGGTCTTGCTTTCTGCTGTCTTACTACCAACAATGAAGGTGACGCATTTATTTGACAATTTTCCTGACTTGAAGAGACATTAAAAATAAGGAGGAACAGTATTATTTTTACGCCAAGTGATAGAAACTACAATTGCAGATTATCATATTGCAAGAAAAGGATGAATCAGATAATAAAAAGTTTATTATTTTAGTTACATTGGAATAATTTTCACAAACATCAAAATCCTTGCTGAGGTTATTCAGTAAAATCACCCCCAGAATTTCTATAGTTGATCTTACTAACCTTTTTAATGTGATGTAATTATGGCTGTTTATTTCAAAGTGTTCAGTAAATGTGCCAGAGTTGAAACTATTAAGATAGCAACACAATATTGATCCTTTCTTGGTATTGTAGATACATTGCACTACAGATATCATTCTAAGTGAAGTATGTGATTTAAAAAAAAAAGTCCAGAAATAATAAATAGACACATTAAAATAAATTTAATGCTGTCTCACTGATGTTTACTAGATATGTTCTCTGACTACAACCTTTCATAATAATGGTTAAAGACAGAGTGATATTGAACTCATTAAAACAACAGCTCCATCTGTGTATTATTCTTTTAGGTGGGCTCTCACTTTAAGGATTTTAACAAACTCAAGATTAAGCCAATGACATCTGAGAACTTCAAGCAGTATAAATAGTATCATTATAAGTCACTTGGAGCCTCAGATATTCCTGTAACTACACTTTGTAGCCAAGTCAAGTTTTCACCAAGATGTCTCTCAGTAGATCTCTCTAGTGCAGCTACAGAAAGAGACAAAATTCATTATTTTATCTGCCATTATTTACATCAAGTGGACCACACAAGAATGACGTTATCTGTCCCACATCTCCTGGACACACCTATGAACCAGTATTGTCAGTGTCTGCACATCCTCTGAAACACCGCAGGAAAACAATGTGAAGTAATTCTTGTGGTTAAATCTGTGAAGAAAGTACACATAAATATGTTATAGTTCCTGTTGCAAACAGAATATTCATAGTAAGAATAAACATTACCACTCTTGTTAGCAAGGTTCTTTCCACCCTCTTGGGGGGAATAGGCTACATGAGAGGGCAGCTGAGTATTTTGTCTATGAGGAAGAAGAGTGAAAGTGCAGGAGTGTATTTATTCTTGTAATTTACCTCACTAGCCCTGTTATTTATGGCAAGCAGTAACCAGTTTAAAGCTACTCGTTGCAATGTCATAAAGACAGATCAAAAGCAAAACTTGTAAAGTAAAAAAAGCTAAATCAGCACTTTTTTCTTATATCAATAAATAATGTAGCAATAAAATAAAAAATTGCAAGCAAATTTTGTGACTGGATGCTAACTACCTGCATCTGTTTACCTACTGAAACAGTCAAAGTAACTGGAAATAGGTGAACAATGATGTCATCCACTAGGTTTGACATTTTTGGTGAGTTTGTGCATATTTACACTCAGATTTGTTAAGTAAAACATGCTGATAGGGTTTTAAAATAATCTAAACAGAAACATAGTCAACCCGTCAAATGTAGGTCAATCATGTGACTCAAGCTTCTGTTTGATTTTCAGCAGATTTGGTGTTTTCTTTACATACTTGCTATGCAGAACTGCATGTCAATATATCTAGAAAACTAATCGAATATATCCTTTTAAACTGCACCCTTAAATATAGTCCAGTGGAGTCCAATCCTGAACCTCGAGGGCCACTTATCTGCATGATTTAGATGTTTCTTTTCTCTTTAGCAGGTCTTCAGGTATTCATTCAAATTACATGTGTCAAAGCAGATAAACATCTAAAACATGCAGGTTAGTGAACTTTGATAAACAGGACTGGAAAACAGTTAAAGTCCATGATAACCTGTTTATGTTTCATTTTATAGTTAGCAATGAGTACCTTTAGCTGACATAATTTGGAAGATTGAAACACTTAAATCTCAACATAAATATGCCAGAGGTTGGAAAAAAAAACTATAAAATATGCAACACTACTACTACTAACAATAATGATTATATTATTATTATTATTATTTATCTTTATTGAAAAAGTACAAAACAATACAATAAAATGCAGTATACTGTAATGAAATAACGGCTGCCAGGGGGTTACAAACACTGAGACAATACTTTGCAATACCATATTGCATAAATATATTAAAGAGAGCACATGAGGTGCAAGTTTTAATGGCCTTCGTGTTGGTGGAATATTTCATAGTTTTGATATATTGTTTGACCTCATTTTTAAAAATGGAGATGAGAGGTTTTTGATTAGTGTAACGACATTTATGAATATGCCATTTGGCTAGATATACAATAAGATTAATAATATAGAACTGTTTTTCTTTAGCTGTTGGGTAGTAAATAAAACCAAACAAAATATGTTCAAAGCAAAGTGAGAAATCTGGTTCTATAAAAGTAGAAATCAAAATGCAGAGAAGGAGCAAGACTAATTATCATATTATGGTGAGCGCCTGCATGTGTTGTGAGGAAACACCGCCCCCTGCCGGTGAGCAGCGGCCCTGCCCGGTGAAAAAATGCTAAGCTCAGGCTTCCTCTGTGCTGACATGTCCTTGTAGATAAGAAGATTACGTTTCCTGTCATGCATACAGACCACACAGTGAAAGTGACTCAACAGAAGCAGAGACTCGTTCGTACAAAATATCACAAAGGGGGAAGCCTTTTCTTTTTTTTCTTTTTTTACCGCTTACTAAGTGGTGAAAATAACAACGTAAAAAAAAAAAAAAACTGCTAAGCGCCGCTCACCAGTTTAGTCACGTTCGAACGTAAAGTCTGCGCAGCCGCAGTAGCTCCGCCCTCGAGCCCACACTGCAGTTCCTCTGAAGCGCTGCGGATCGAAGGCTGCCTGCAAAATACTCCGACAGCCAAAGCCTTTCGTCACCGAGTTGACGCGTGGCTTATGCGGTGGATTAATTAATAAATGGCTGCCAATATGGATTAATAATCAGATTAATGTTTGCAGGAGGAGGACGGCTCGGCTGGACGCTGCAGCTTCCACATTAGCTCCGCAGCAGCACGCAGCGATGTTTCAGGCGTCGTTACTCTCAGGTGCCCGGTGCTCGGATGCCGACAGTAAGCGGTCCTACCAGGACCTGTTCAACAGGCTCGACACCAACAATGATGGCAAAGTAGACGTGGCTGAGTTACGAGAGGGCCTCAAGGCGATGGGAATGTACCGCCAAGGTGCAGCACAGGTAAAGAAGAGATCCTGCACCTGAACCGGGCAGGGTTCAAGTACCGGACGGCTCAGTTACTAAAGTCCAAAGTGTGTGACCCAGACTGACTTCTACTGAATATCGGTTTTCTTTTCTTTTTACATCTCTGCAGAAAATTGTGTTAACTGGGGACGAAAACAATGATGGGTGTTTGGACTTCAACGAGTTCACAAAATATCTGAAAGAGCACGAGATGAAGCTGTGGCTCACGTTCACAAGTCTGGACAGGAATGATGATGGTAGGAGATGATGGGGGGAATCGTTTCAATGCTTTCTCCCTTATACCATTTTGCTTATTTTGCACGTTTCAGTCATGTTCTTTTAATGTGCACCAGGGCACATTGATGCCTCAGAGATCCAGCAGTCCCTTGCAGAGCTGGGCATAAACGTCTGCAAGGAGGATGCCCTGAAAATTTTACAAAGGTTTGAACTCCACTTGCACGCCACGTGCCTTCATACACACGCAACGCAACATAATCAAGGTAAAAAGATGTCTCTGTGCACCCTCAGCATGGACATTGATGGGACCATGAAGGTGGACTGGAACGAGTTCAGAGAACACTTCCTGCTGTACCCTGCCTTCAACTTGGAGGAGATCATCCGCTACTGGAAACACTCCACGGTACGGCCCACATACAAAGCCTCGGTGAACCTGCCCACACTCCTTCACTCCTCCAGTGTCAGATACTATAGATTTTCTCTGCAGATCGCTGCAGCTTTGTAAACCAAACAAGATAATTAGTCCACAGTTGTACATTTTGTTCCCTTCCACTTCTCCTTATGATGCCCAGCCCCATATTCTTGGAGCAAATAAAGATGCCATTGAGTTTTTTTTTTCTTCGCACTGCACAGTGCTTCTCTTCACAGAACCTGTTTCTAAATGTTTCTCTGCAAACCTCATAAAAATGTGTGACAGGAGTCAGCGTAGGACTCGCGTTAACTAACTAGCTCTGTAATCTCTTGTGTTCCTCAGCACATTTGCATTAAAAAGCCACTGCACTATGTTTAGTTTTCTTCTTCTTCTTTTTTTGCTTTTGGGAAAACATCGGATTTGTTTATCTGGAACAGCTAAAGGCGAGCCGAGGACTTAGACGGCTCAGTAGTTATAAATTCACAAACTGTTCTGACTGAAGGGTAAAAAGCTGACGAGACAACGGCGTTTTAGCGTTCCCGCCTGGCTTCTTGTGTGCATTTTGAACTCCAGTCTGTCATAATCTTGGTGTGTCAGCTTTCTGGTTTGTTCAGGCCGTGTAAAAGTTGTCTGTCTGTTGCTACACAACTGCGAAAACAGAAAGGAGAAGTTGTTGTGAGGGGTCACTGTCAGCCACACAGGCATGCATGCTTGTAAGATAGCCTATATGACTCAGAACATTTTATATATTTTGCGTTAATACAATGGGAATATGCATCAGAGTTGTTGTTTGTAGTTTTAATAAGGTTACCTACACTGACTGACACAGGTGACATGTGTCTGCATGGATTCAATACATTTTTATTCCCTAGGTGTTGGATATAGGTGACAGTCTCTCCATCCCGGATGAATTTACAGAAGAAGAGAAGAGCTCAGATGTCTGGTGGAAGCAGCTGGTTGCCGGCGCGGCGGCAGGCGCCGTCTCTCGCACCGGCACCGCCCCGCTGGACCGACTGAAAGTCTTCATGCAGGTGAAGAAAGTTCAGGAAAAGAGACACGGAGGGGTAAACACATGTATATGTGAAACCGTTGGGCTAAGCATGTCTGTTTTTACACTACAGGTTCATTCGTCCAAAGCCAACAGGATAGGGCTGATTGGGGGCTTCAGGCAGATGATTGTGGAGGGGGGTCTGACTTCTCTGTGGAGGGGGAATGGAATCAATGTTTTGAAGATCGCACCTGAGACGGCCATCAAATTCATGGCTTATGAACAAGTTGGGAACTGTACCTTTAAAACATGCTGCCCATGCTTAGAGTTTATTTTGTAATAGTGGCTAATATGTGGATGTACTTGTATTACAGTATAAGAAGTTGCTGTCATCAGAGGGAAAGAAGATTGAGACGCATAAGAGGTTTATTGCTGGCTCTATGGCTGGAGCCACTGCACAGACTGCCATCTACCCAATGGAGGTACGAGTCCTTGTTGGTTATGAGCCTCATGAAGTGCGATTAAAAAGTAAAAACTTAGTTTGCCCTCCACGAAGAGGTTTGGGTCTGAAAATGTTCTTACGTTGAAGCTGGAGAGGATAGCCCTAACAGCATCCTCTGCCTTGTTCACCAAGAGGCTAATGTTGCTAAACTAGCAATCTGCAGCTCTACTTATAAGCTAGATTAGAGGTATTTTATTTTTAAATTGGAAAAATAAATAGGCCTATTTTGGCTGGTGAGGCTGTATAATTTGAAATAATGTGGAACCCATTTCTGTGCTGCGTTAGTATTTAGGATGTCAGCTCATTCTGAACTGAGCAACACGGCGATGGGCCTAATTTATGTATGCAAAGCTATTTTACTCTCTTTTATTCACTAGTTGCTCTTTATTGACTGTCAATTTGTACAGTAGTCCCTCGTTTATCGCAGGGGATCCGTATCCTGAAGACCTGCGACTGTGAAAAACCGCAAGTAGGAATAGTAGTAAGTAGTAGTTTATATTATTTTATATATATATATATATATATATATATATATATATATATATAAGGCGTTTTAAACCCTTCCCACACTCTTGCAGTACTCAAAACAATGTTTCTAAACGCTCTAAAAGAGCACAGAATGTCATGATTTCAGCTTCCTGCCTCCACTGCTCTTTGTGCTCTTGGCCACGCCCACTCCTCAGCTGTCCACGCTGATCAGCTGTTCAGCTGCAGCAGGAAGTTTATCCTGCAGTAAGGGCTGCCCAAAGCTGCAGGAGGAAGCTTTTTCTGCAGCTCTGGGCTGCACAAATGTGCAGCAGGTGCTAAATAATTTAAAATAATTTATTTTAAATCAAAATTCCATACCGATCGTGCGGCTCATCCATCAGTCAGCCAATTGAGTCATGTCTAATCTTATTTTGAAAAACCGCGATAGAGCAAGTCTGCGATAAACAAACCATGAAGTAGCGAGGGACTACTGTAATTCATTTTCAATTCAGTTTAGTAATATAACACCAATTAGAAGTTGTCTCGGGGCACTGAACAGAAACATTCACATACAGTACATAAAAATAAGTTAATAACAATATTTATCTAAGGAGCCAGTGTATTGCTTCAAGTTTTCACTTCGTAGCAGTCTCCCATCCTAAGCGAGCACAGATGCAACAGTGGAAAGGGAAAAACTCCCTCATGAAGAAGAAACCTCCAGCAGAACCAGGCTCAGGACAAGCAGGCATCTGCTTCAACCGGCTGGGTTTGAGAGGAACAGGAAGGAGAAATGAGCACACAATGGCAGGTCCAGGATGGAGGCCATCAGGTTTGTCTCTAGGAGGAAAGACAGAAATCACACGTTAAGAAAGAATAATTACAAATACCAACTATTCATACAAACACAAAATGTATAATAATAATAAATAATTAATTGACTGCAAAACAATTCATAATGCATTCATTCAATTCATAAACATAATTAACTGACTAATTAATTAATGCGCTCATTAGTTTCCTGTCTTTCGTTGATCTTTTACTAGTCTGACGGGGGTAGGTGCCACGGTGGAAGGATGTTCACATAGTGTTAGCTTTTATGCAACAAATGTAATTATCATTATCTGATCTATGTTATTTGGCTTCCAACAAGATAATTGTAACTCCTCATGTTAGTTTTAGCCAAACTGCAACTATAGTTTCTCCAGAACGCTGCAACTCGTCTTTTAAGATGATTTTAAAAAAAACAAAACATGAACATATCTCCCTGGTGCTTGCTTTCTTTCATTGGCTCCCGGTTTGTTTTAGAAATGTTTTAAAAGTTGTATTTATGAGCTAAAAGTCCCTGAATGGGCAGGTTCCCGTATCGGACCTCCTGCAACCTTATATGCACCTCCAGATCCCTTCGATCTAATGGTCGTTTGCGTTTAGCTGTCCTGGGCTGCAGCCTGGTCCACAGAGGTGCTTCTATTTTGTTTGTTTGTATGATCTCGTGTTCTGCATTGTCTTTAAATACATTTGATTTTATTTAAACTAGGAGAATCCTTGGTTCATTTGTGTCTCTTTGTCGCTGCTTCTATTAAAGGTCTTAAAGACCCGCCTGACCCTGAGGAAAACTGGTCAGTATGCAGGAATGTTTGACTGTGCAAAGAAGATTCTGAGGAAGGAGGGTGTCATCGCTTTCTATAAGGGCTACATTCCAAACCTACTTGGCATTATTCCCTACGCAGGGATCGACCTCGCTGTTTATGAGGTATGTGATGCGTGCTGCCCTTTCTTGCTGATGCTTATCTTAAGCTGCTGGGCTTTAATGAAATTAATCAGAAAACTGATAAGCTGATGTGCAGTAGTTGAGTTTTTTGTTTGTTTGTTTCTTAGACTCTAAAGAACACCTGGTTGATGTATCACGCTAAAGACTCAGCAAATCCTGGAGTTCTGGTGTTGTTGGGCTGCGGGACCATCTCCAGTACCTGCGGCCAGCTGGCCAGCTATCCCCTCGCATTGGTTCGTACACGGATGCAAGCGAAAGGTAATATATGCTATATATATTGCCTTATCATATATA